AGTTTTATATGTCTGTGTATTTGTAATGTGTATCTTTGTTCTTATTTTTTAATAACAAAGATAAAATAATTATTTTTATTTTCGCCCACCTTAGCCAAAAAATCTGCTATTCTTTTTTATATTTTGTTACATTGAAATGCTTTGTTTTTATAATAGGGAAATTAGTTTGGCTGTAATGCTCAGACAACTTGCAAAATAGTAAAACCAACATGACAGAATCGTGATAAAATCATGACTCGTGATATTTTTGAAAAAAATTGTGATATGATATTTTTGCCATATCGCCCACCCCTAAGGTTTGTATTGATCTTCCTGCAGCACCTGTTACCTTAGGTGGTGTATTAATGACCAGCTGCTGTGGTCAGTGTAATATGATGGGGTTCACTTACATAATGCTTTTATCATTTCTTTCAGAGTTTAAAGTTTCAATACCATTAGCCAATATACTAAAAGATAAGTGAATGCTTGGGTAATCTAATAAAACTAGTAATTGGGTTAGCAATTTCAGAAAATGCTCTCATCTCATCATGGGTTGTTCTAATGACACCTGAGAGGGGCATTAACGAAGGACTCTGAACAGGTTTGTAAGGGAAGTCATTAGTGCTTTGAATAGAAGCCAGAAGAAACCAATAATATGCCCATAATGTACCCAAATATTGTGCAATACAGTTTACCTTGTCGTAGATATATTTGTGCATATGATGCGATTTCAATTTTTCCTTTCTCTTTGGAGTGTTACAAGCTCTTGGTGCATAAAGAAGATCTGTAAAGTTGCAAAGACTAAAGTCTCAAATCCAAAGAGATATTCTTTATAAAAGTTAAGAGTCAGCCACACCTACCTAAAACGGCTCGTTCTAACACGCCCCCACATACCTACGTCACTATCTGGGGAGATTTGCATAACGCCACCCAAATGTTCACGCAAAGAAAGAAGGCGTAACTTTTATTCTCACTGTCGTATTGTTGCCGCCGTCGCCATGTCATGAAGGCGCTGTGTGCTTCATTGTGAAAGCGAAACTACTTTGTTTGGCATTCCAAAAGAGGACGATATCGCTTCGTCATGCCTGGAGCCGTGCTGGTCGCTGAGGAAATACTTCAACAATGCGCTGTCGATCGCCGGATCGGCTTTCACCGTGGACGAAGCGGAGTCCAGCCCGGGGTCATCACATGTGGTTGCCGCAGGCATCACAATATGGTAAGGGACGTAACATTTCCGTCACACGCTTGAG